CTCTGTACAAGTGTTGCCACACGCGGCTTACCCACAAGTTTTATTTTTAGCGTCCTCTTTTATCCTTTAATTTTCCGAAACTTTTAGCTGCTTTCGGGTGATTAATTTAATCTTATGTCATTTATTTGAAGTGTATCAACAATTTGGCTGCTTAGAGACTGGACTGTGAAGGAGAGACGCAAGTATTTCTCTGTGAGTTTGTCGTTCTAAGTCGTGATATAAACACAGATTAGCAGCAAAGCTCTTCATGGGGCAAGTGATAGTGGCACTCTGATCACAAATGAGGAACTGGGGTTTGGTTTCTGGACGAATGGGAACGCTGTGTCACCTGCTCACCAAGCAGTAAATGGGTACCTGGGTGTCAGTCGAATCCTGAAGAGAGGATTAGAGAACCTCAATGGAAACAAGCCAGTATCGACAGTGGCTTTGTTGGGTTTTCCTGGATTGCATACGAACATAATTATGGAGGAACACTGCAGCAGGTCTTCTTTCTCATGCCTTGCAGGATGTGGAGATATCCTTCTTGATAACTCCTGGTCCAACTCTTGGTCATGACTGTAGAATCCTGCCTACCTGTGACAATGCCTTCGTCTGCTGCACCTCCTCTGACTTCAGTATATAAGCACCAATATTCCTGCCTGTGCTTCACATTCTTCAAGAATACAGTGCTCATCACCTGTTCGTCTTGCACTGTCTTCTATATGTATTACAGTCCTTAGATTATGTCAACTTATTGTATTGATAAAACCATTGGATGACGAAACGTCTACAAATAAAGATACTCGGATGTTGCATATGTGTCTAATTCATCATTTTGTCGGTAATGTATACCAGTGATGAACAAAATTACGGCAGTTATAATGTTTTAGCTAATGTAAGATACATGTAAACTGCCGAATCTTAATGTAAGATACTACATGTAAACTGCAATATCCTAATATAAACTACTGTGAACGGGGAATATTATGTAAGATATTGCATATAAATTATTTTGTTTACTGTAAATTTTAGCATAATAAGTACGTCAGGTAATCTATTTAGTTCTTTCACCAACACTTGATTAATGGCGACGAAGCCTCGTGGCAGGAGGGTTCCCTTGGAACTGCTCTCCTGCGCGGTCGCGCGGATCATAAGCAAAAGCTGTGAACTAGTCAGGGAACGGGTGAAGCTTAAACCCAACGGCGGATGAAGCTTGAACCCAACGGCGGATGAAGCTTGAACCCATGGCGGGTGAAGTTTGAACCCATGGCGGGTGAAGTTTGAACCCATGGCGGGTGAAGTTTGAACCCATGGCGGGTGAAGTTTGAACCCATGGCGGGTGAAGCTTGAACCCATGGCAGGGGACTTCTAAAACTCACAGGCCGGTGTGTTAATCATGATTTGTGGTTTATAATCGTGTTATTACGATTTCGTGAGTCGTGAACTTTATTATTTTATGTAGATAAATGGTTCAGAGAACCGACACTTGGATATCTTTATTGTGGAAACGTTTTGCCACACACTGGTTGAGTATTAGAAGATGTTTGAGACAATCAGTCCCTCAGCCTGGAGTCAAGGTAATCAGCCCATCAATCTTGATAAGTATACAGCATATGAGTGAAAAAGTTGTTTTTGTCAAGAAAATCGAAATGTTCGAAGTTGTGCTGAAAAATATATTCCTTAACATACCTGCTGTCCCTGTTACCCATCAGTAATAATGGGTACCTGGGTGTTAGTCGACTGGTGTGGGTCGCATCCTTGGACAAAACTGACCTAATTTGTCTGAAATGCTCTGCATAACAAGGGGCTTTCTATATAGTAGTATGTTATTGATGTCAGCTAGGCCTGTATACCTTGTACATGTACTTGTAGTAAATAAAGGTATTATTATTTCTTGGTTACTTTTGATAACGACTCGCCGTTTCTTTGCGCTCCATCACTCGCTTAACATTTTTCCCGACAGTTGTTAGGTAAAAAGACACAAGTGCAAGTAATGAGACATTTTATTGTTTCCACAGTAAAATGTCACATTAGTTGCACTGGTGTCCGTTTACCTAACATATTGTCGGTAATTCTACAAGCATTTTTACAATATCTCGCAATAATTGTTCATATTGGTCACTAGAAGTATCTGTAGTAGGTCTATTTTTCCACGCTAGGTACGTCTTATTTATACCTAATTACTCCCATTCATGTATGTGTCCAACTTCAAACTACCCAAATTGTTCGCTTTAGTAATGCTACTTGGCAGTGTATTCAAATCGTTCAGTAGAAACAAACAATTTATCCAGATACCTACTCAGTATTCTTTATTTATTTACACAGACTATCAGACTGCTCTCACTGTGAAATTCAAGAATCCTCGTATCTTTATCCTACTCTTTTTCAGACATATTGCATCCAAGTATTTCTCTTCATATTCAGTAAGAAGTTCTCTGTTGTCAATTGCACGTTGCATACCATCCTTTCTTGTCACATCTTCCACAGTAGTTTCTCTCACTTTAGCAGTATTTTATCCCCCAAAAGTTTTTTTCTCTATCTCTCTCGCTCTTGTATTAAAATTCCTTTACCATTTACATGATATATATATATATATTTCACTTTTCTCTCCACTAGGCGCATGACCACTGGCTTTTATCCCCTTCTTAATTTACTGAATATGCTTTATGTTTTTGGATTCTGTTTTTCTGTTTAGGTTATTATGCATCACCTTTTCCTTTAGTTGATTAGTGTTGATATTAGTTGCTTGGGGTCTCTTGGGGGGTGTGGCGATGTTGCTGAAAGTGGGTTTGGTTGACCATCACTAGCTTAAGCTAGTGATTTAGTTGGTTGATTAAGCCCCAGACAACCAGAGGCCTCCAGTAAATTCAAATATTGTGTTTATATCCACGATGAGACTGAAGACAGTTGACTAACTTCTGGGTATCTATTTACTGCTAAGTGAACAAGGTCAGGAGGAGTTAAGAGATGGCCATTCATCCCTCCTCATCCAGGTTTGAATCCAGGCCTATCGGGTTGAATTAATTTGGTGTCCGAGTTTCCCTGGCAACTGGATTGCAATGGAGAAAGAAGTGTAGTGGTGGAACTGGTGGTCTGAGAGAATATCAGTTAAGAGTTTGCTGCTAGGTGTCAGGGGGTGTCGGACTAGGGTCTCCTTCGGTCTGGGGTCTTCTTAGGGCTGGGGTCACGATGATCATGGCAGTGTTTCTTGCTAATTCTTCTCTGGCGTGTCGCCTGCCACTACAAAGTCGCTGCTTGGGCTGCTGCTGTTTGGATTGCATGTCTGATATCTGGCTCAACCCTGAGAAAATCTTGCTTATTTGCCTCGGTCATCCTGTCTTAGCACTCTTATTCCTGCTGGATGTTCTTGACAGTATTGTGCATTCTCCTGCGTGGCTCTCTATTTTCTCTCTGTCTTCAAAAATTTTAGTTTCCTTCATGCAATGTTGCAGTTAATGGCGTAGTGATATGTTATAATTGTTCTAATATAAATTACAGTCTAACCTAACCTGACTTAAACTAACCTAAGCTAACCCTTCCTAGCCTAATCTAGCCTAATTTACATAACGTATGTTGATAAATTAGTTTAAAATCGTATGTTAAATAATCGAACTGAATCCAACTGAATGTATCACCACCATCTTTGCATAATTTGTCAACATTCTAATGAAAGACTCAACTCATTCCTTTTTTCTCAATACTTGTTATAACATTTACATTGGTTCCTTTGTTTACACATGCATTTGCAAGCTAAGATCTGTTATCCTACCTCAGCTCTTTCAAAGCCCAGCCCTAACTAAGGTATACTACCCCTCCCTCAGGATGCCACTCACAACAATCGATTACCACCCAGGTACCTACTTGCTAGGTGAACATGGGCAACAGGTGTAAGGAAACGTGCCCAACGATTCCACTCATGCCCGGAATCGAACCACAGATCCTCTATAGGCGAGCTGAGTGCTACTGCTGAACCAGTGCTAAACCCGTGAGGGTTAGATGGCGTCTGGGAAATGGGATGTAATCAGTTCACAGATAACACACTTAAGAGAGGACACTTAAGAGGCACGTAAGTCTTCCAACAACATGTTCATTTTTTTTCCACTATAATCTACCTTGTCCATAATTACTATCACATTTTCTTTGTCTGATTCGTAAGGTGAAGTCCAGGATCTTTTCTTAATTCATGGTATAACTTAACAAATCTTTGAGGACAATTATGTTATAGAGGTGTGAGCTTTGTTCAGACAAAGTAAATGAGATAGTAATTATGGGCAAGGTAGATTATAGTGGAAAAATGAACTTGTTATTATAAGACTGGGGAACTTATGTGCCTCTTTTAAACGCCGTCTCGGCTCGTCCTCAAAAATTATTCAGTCACACCCAAGAAAGATATTATAATATGTATTGTTTGGACGTAATTATATCCGATTCATAGGAGGGTAACTCCACTTCCATGGATTAAGAATCCTTCGTTGACATGATGGCAACCCTTTGAAGGAAAAGTTGGCAGCTACACTCTTTTTGCCAGTCATGAATTCTCTCTCTCCCTCACTCTCTCTCTCTTCCCGGGAGTACCTTGATGCTTACGAAGAGCTCTTGAGCCAAGGAATTGGAGTTCATCTCCCTTTCCTCAGAACAAACCATTTTACCTTCCATTCTCTAAGCGCTGTGTGACCCCTGTGTGCTTAACTCTTCCCTATTCCACCTTGGTTTTTTAATTCTTTTTCTATTTGAGATGTTCTTCACACAGTCTTGTCTCCATGTTTGTTAATTATGTGAGATTAAAATTGGGTAGAAGGGAGTGGACTGCGTTATCCTGGGAAATTACAATGTTTTGCTTGAGAAATCGATCGACGAAGTTATATAAGAGGTGACTGAAGTCACGCGTCTACCTCACCACCTTCACATTTAGTAATATTTAATAAGCTTACATTGCTGCTGAGTTATAACAGAGTTGAATATATGGAGAATATGTTGAGAGTTATAATCCTGTTAAAAGAGTATGTTATTAATGCATTTCATCTGTTCCGGCAGATAAGGGACAGCAAGGCATGTAGTGAGCTGGTGTACGTTGGTACAGAGCTGTTGTATGTTGATATAAAGGAAGATTCTGAGGGCGAGTTTTAAAAATTTAAGCCAGGGAGTGGAGCCGGGGTAGGTACATTCAACTCTCTCACCTTCACCTGCTTCCTGTGTCACTCGGGTCACCACTGCCTGACCCAAACATTGTTATCTGGGCCCCTATCACTCCACTCTACCTCCAAGATGCTGTCACCGCTGCCCCTACCACGAGCTGGTACAAGTTCCTCACTGCCTCTGACGCCGAATACCACCAGGTCAGCGCCAGCACCTGGTAGTAAAGTGAAGTCTTCCAGGTCCGTCCAGACAGCTGAAGACAAAACGCCTCTCCCTCTTCAATCTGGAAAGGAAGAGACATCAGTGACATCGTCTGTGTTACAGGTGTTGGTTGGTAGGCAGAGTCAGAGCCACACACAATCACAGCACACTACAACAACTCACTATACGAAAACTCATCTCTTACAGGTTAGTCCTTAAAATTAATTAACCTGTCAGTGTTGGAATTACAGGTTAGTTAATGAAAACGTTACGTGTGCAACACATTGTTATTGCCGCAACGTTTCTCCCGAGAAGCAGACTGCTCTTCCACTTGATTACAAAAGCGACATTTAAACTGGAGACAGTGAAAGAAGTGGAGAGGTAAGTTTGAGAGCAATAAAAATATCCAAGTGTTGTGCATGTCTCGTCAACCTGTCTCTACCCTTGTTTGTGTGATATCGTGAGTCATAATGTTACAGATCTTACAGGTCAGTGCACGAAAATTATCTTACAGGTCAGTGCACGAAAATTATCTTACAGGTCAGTGCTCGGAGTTATCACTTTAGTATCAATTCACAGGTAAATAAAACGAAGAAACTTGGTTTAATAAATCGTGATTTTCTTGACAGGATGGAAACATGGATTTTTCAACCATTACACTGGATTCAGACGATGCGAAATTAATTTCAGATTTTTTATATATTCACGCAACGCAACACTGAAGTCAATGTTTGACAAATGAGTTTTACACAGGTGTGTGGAACTACCGAAATGCGCTTAACTAAATGCGTTTGCTAATTGCACTTACCTAAATACGCTTACCTGATTGCAATGGTCGAGCTGCAGCTACTGGGTACTACCAGTTTATTATTATTATTATTATTATTATTATTATTATTATTATTATTATTATTTCACGCTTAGCTTTTCACTCGTTTTTTTAATTCTTTGAATTAAAATTAAATCCCAGTCACTTCACTGAATGATCTTACTTCTGACGTTGATTTATATATATATATATATATATTATATATATATATATATATATATATATATATATATATATATATATATATAATATATAAATATATATATATATATAATATATATATATATATATATATATATATATATATATATATATATATATATATATATCACGCGTTGTGTGTGTGTGTGTGTGTGTGTGGTCGTGCCGAATAGGTAAAACTTCCGATTTCGACTTAAAATAGTAACGTTCTTCTTGCTGAATGCCGAATGAGACAAGCGAAAATTTGTGTATGCAATAAATTCGCAAAAATCATTCTCAACCTAACGATGAAAAATACATTTCATTGTGTTTGTTTATTATTACATTATTGTAAACTTGTCAAAAAATATTTAGCTGGATTAGGCTAAATTAAATTGCGCTTATTATAATAAGGTTAAGTAAGTTTTCTAAGGTTCTTTCGGTACAAAATTATTATTTTTCCATTAACATAAATGTAAAAAAATTTATATTTAAACGTATAAGAGATAATTTTAGAAAGGACTTAATTTTAAATGAGTTCTTGCTAATTAACCAATTTTAACTATTCGGCATATAATATATATATATATATATATATATATATATATATATATATATATATATATATATATATATATATATATATATATATAATATATATATATATATATATTATATATATATATATATATATATACTGCTCGTTGAACTAGTACACCAAACAGGGACTAGAATGAAATTAGCCTAGAGTCATCCAGACCATCGTGTGTCCTTGTGTAGGGAGTACAACATCCAGTTCCGCTGGATGCCCTACTCTTAAGGATCGTATGGTCCAGTGGATAAGGGCGGCATGTGTTTTCGCCCACCATGAGGCAGGCCAAAGCAGCATGGGTTCGAGTCCTTGGCTAGTGCAGTGTTGTTATTGATCAATACCACTCGTTCGTGGTCACAATAAATATATATATATATATATATATATATATATATATATATATATATATATATATATATATATATATGCAAGGAATTCGCGAGATCAGGCGAAATATACACAAACACTGATCTCTGGCTGAAGGATACTCGAGTCTCCTTCAGCCAGAGATCAGTGTTTATATATATATATATATATATATTATATATATATATATATATATATATATATATATATACAGTAAGATCACAGTTAACAGGTGATTGCAGAATATGCAAAACAGCTACTGTGAAAGAATAGAGAAATTCCAAGCGCTTTCGTGACTACTCACATTATCAAGGAACAATCCTTGATAATGTGAGTAGTCACGAAAGCGCTTGGAGTTTCTCTATTTTCTCACAGTGGTTGTTTTGCATATATATATATATATAATATATATATATATATATATATATATATATATATATATATATATATATATATATAATATATATAATATATATATTGTATGTGTGTACTCACCTAATTGTGATCGCAGGGGTCATTTCACAGCTCCTGGCCAATGTAAGTATGTGTGTGTGTGTGTATGTTTAATGCCATGTATGAATGGATGTGTGTGTGTGTGTACGTATATATTTATCCTCACTCTTCGAATAATTTTTTCAGAAAAATGATCAGACTAGCCCTTGTCTTGATTTTTTTTTAATATTTTTAGGCCCCCAATTTTGAGCGATTTTTGTCCAGGAAACTGCCTTTCCCGCACGAACCTTTTAAATTTTTTTTACGCAAGAAATTCAATTTTTTTGTTTTAAATTGTCTCTATGATCGGGAATATTTTTTACTTCATTGATGGATAATTGTTTACTAATTGATGGATAATTTTTTTTTATCGTTGATGGAAATTTTTTACTATCATTGTGGTAATTTTTTTTTATCGTTTATAGATAATTTTTATTTTCGTTGATAGATAATTGTTTTTTCTATTTTGAGGTTTAATTTTTTATTATCGTTGTGGATAAATTGTTTTCTGTCGTTGTGGATAATGTTTATATCATTTTATGGTAATTGTTTTTATCGTTGATGGATAATTGTTTATTATCGTTTATGGTAATTGTTTACTATATTTATGGGTAATTGTTTTTATCGTTGTGGATAATTGTTTATTCATTGATGGATAAAGTTTTCTATATTGAGGATAATTGTTTTTCTGCGTTGATGGATAATTGTTTATGTCGTTATGGATAATTGTTTGTGTCGTTTATGGATAATTGTTTACACAATCATTGATGGACAATTGTTTAATTCATTGATGGATAAAATTGTTTATACTTATCGTTGATGGATAATCCTTCGTTTACTATCATTAATGGATAATTGTTTAGCAATTGATGGATAATTGTTTACTATCGTTGCCGGTTAATTGTTTACTATCATTGATGGGTAATTGTTTACTATCATTGATGGGTAATTGTTTACTATAATTGATGGATAATTGTTTATTTACACGTCTGTATGGTAAATGTTTACTATCATTAATGGATAATTGTTTACTATCATTGATGGATAATTGTTTACTATCATTAATGGATAATTGTTTACTATCGTTGATGGATAATTGTTTACTGTCGTTGATGGATAATTGTTTACTATCGTTGATGGATAATTGTTTACTATCATTGATGGATAATTGTTTATCATTGATGGATAATTGTTTACTATCGTTGCTGGTTGTTTACTATTATTGATGGATAATTGTTTGCCATCATTGATGGATAATTGTTTACTATCATTGATGGATAATTGCTTATTAATGGATAATTGTTTACTATCGTTGCTGGTTAATTGTTTACTATCATTGATGGATAATTGTTTACTATCGTTGATGGATAATTGTTTACTATCATTGATGGATAACTGTTACTAATCATTGATGGATAATTGTTTACTATCATTTGATGGATATTTGATTTTTACTATAATGGATGGATAATGTATACTATCATTTGATGGATAATTGTATTTATACTATCAATGAGAGATAATTGTTTACCATCTTTGATGGATTAATTGTTTATCATTGTGGAAAATTGTTTTTCATTGAGGATTAAATGATTAATATCATTGATGCGATAATTGTTTACTTTCATTGATGGATAATTGTTTACTTCATTGTTGGATTAATTGTTTACTTAATCATTGATGGATAATTGTTTACTATCATTGATGGATAATTGTTTACTATCATTGATGGATAATTGTTTACTATCGTTGAGGGATAATTGTTTATCATTGATGGATAATTTTTTATCATTGATGGATAATTGTTTACTATCATTGATGGATAACTGTTTACTATCATTGATGGATAATTGTTTACTATCATTGATGGATAATTGTTTACTATCATTGATGGATAATTGTTTGCTATCATTGATGGATAATTGTTTACTATCATTGATGGATAATTGTTTACTATCATTGATGGATAATTGTTTACTATCGTTGAGGGATAATTTACTATAATCGAAAAATATTTTTTTACCATATTCTAATATTTCTTTTACTATAGAGTAATTGCTGCTATAATCCAGTAATTATTGTTCGCTATAATCAATAAATAATTCTTTACAATAATCGAGAGATCATAATACTTCCGGGTTTTCCTTGATGTTTTAACAGTATTTTTCTTCTGTTGTCTCACGCACAACCTCGACCAGTCGGGTCGTTCTGGTGTCTTCTTTCCTTTCTTTCTTTTTCTTTTCTCAACCGCTTTTTCTTTTCTCCCTTGTGTTGTGTCATTTCTTCCTGACCTTTTTTTCGTCTCTCTCTCTCTCTCTCTCTCTCTCTCTCTCTCTCTCTCTCTCTCTCATCTATCTCTCTCCTCTCTCCTCTCTCTCTCCCTCTCTCTCTCTCTCTCTCTCACTTTTACACAGGGTTTTACAAAGTAAGGCAAGATTCCTAAATTTATTCACAAGCTAAGAGCTGTTTGCTACATCAGCTCATCTGAAAGCCTTGTTATTGTTATGAGACATACAAATAGAGAACAGGATGTCATCATTTTGATGTCATTCTCTCTCTCTCTCTCTCTCTCTCTCTCTCTCTCTCTCTCTCTCTCTCTCTCTCTCTCTCTCTCTCTCTCTCTCGCTCTCTCAGTATCGAACAGGTGAGCTGGTCTCCTGGGTCTTGACCCTCAGACCTAGCCTCATGTCACTCCCCTTACTCTCATAATTCACCAGATTTACTTGGTAAGGAAAAGCGAAGAGCAGG